GTACAGGCGCTGCGTACGACACGACGGCAACCTCCCCTCAACCTCCCCCAACAGTCCCACACCCCTCGACACACACCCCCTGCTGAAACCCTAGCTCCACTCCCATGGCACCCCCCTTAAACCCTAAACCCTCGGCTCCCACACACCCACCCCCCTGAGCAGCAGCTGCAGCAGTGGGAGACGGAGGAGGAGGAGGAGGAGCAGGGGACGGCCCTCCACCCCCAAACCCTAACACAGGAACGCGGGCAGTAGCGGGGGTGGGGCGCCGGCAGAAGCTCGGGGGACGGACGAGGCGCGCGCACGGGCCTGCCGCAGGCCGGACGAGGCGCGCGCGGGCTGCCCGGGCCGCGCGCGGGCCTGGCGCAGGCCGTACGGGCCGCGCGCGGGCTGTACGGGCCGCGCGCGGGCCTGGCGCAGCCCGTACGGGCCGCGCGCGGGCCTGGCGCAGCCCGTACGGGCCGCGCGCGGGCCTGGCGCAGCCCGTACGGGCCGCGCGCGGGTCCCAGGGGCGCTTCGACGGGCGACGGGGGCGTTTCGACGGGCGACGGGGGGCGCTCCGACGGGCGACGGGGGCGCTTCGACGGGCGACGGGGGGGAGCGCTTCGACGGGCGACGGGGGGCGCTTCGACGGTGGGAAACCGCCGCGCGCCTCGGGGCGCACGGCGGGCAGAAAACCGCCGCGCGCCCCGAGCGCGCGGCGGGAAGAAAAAAACGAACATCGCGCGCCACGGGACGCGCGACACACAGGAAGGCAGCGGAAGCAGGCGGGCCCACAGGCCAGGAGCGTAACCGCTCTGATAGCATGTCAGAATAACCGGTAGTCTTAGGAGCCATAGCTAGGAGAGTCCTAGCTAGGCAAGAGAGTTTAGGCGAAAGAGGAGGGTTGCACTAGCAAGAATGGGGATACAAATAGCAAACCCTAGAAGGGTTGTACTCGCTACAGAGCACCCCACTACAGGCTAGAGCATAATATTCTGACAGAAAGCTTCGTCGACCTGGCTCTTCGACCATCCTGCGTCGACCAGCACTTCGTCGAGGGCCTCGTACCACAACATCGGACTCTGCTTCAATCCGTAGAGACTTTTCTTCAGCATGCAGACTCGACCCGTCCCGTCGTTGTAAAACTCGGGCTGCTCCATGAAGAGAGGACGGTCAAGTTTCGCATTAAGAAATGCATTTGTCATGTCGAGTTGCATCAGCTCCAAATTTCCATCAGCGGCGTTCGACACATGCATCCGTGCAGTTCCGTAGCTTCCGACGGGGGCAGAAATTGCGTCAAATTCGTCAGGGGTCTGTGTGTATCCTTTGACGACAAGTCGACCCTTCTCTCGGTCGACCGTATCGTCTGGGTTGTACTTCGTCGTTAAAACCCATCGATTCTTCATCACATTGACCCCAGGCGGACGAGGTACCAGCTCCCAAGTCTCTTGGTCGTAGAGAGTCTGCATCTCTGCATCCATTGCTGCTTTGACTGCTTCACCCTTCCAGCTTCGCAGAGCTTCTGCAACTGTCATGGTCGAAATGTCCCAACGATGATCCGTGTCGACGACGCACTCGTCAGCAGAGTCGAGCTCTTTCTGTACTACATCCTCATGCATGCCGTCGAGCGAAGTCGTCGTAAACATCGTTAGTGCTTCGCGGTAGCGGAGCGGTTTCTGAATCTTTCGACCATAACGAGAAACCTGAAATGTTTCGTCTGCAGGTCCTTCTTCTGCAGGTTGCTCTTTTGCGGCAATTTCTTCAAATGCAGGCAGCTCCACTTCGACATCTTCTTCTACAGGCAGCTCGTCTGCAGATCGCTCTTCTGCCGATCGCTCTTCTGCGGATCGCTCTTCTGCGGATGTTTCATCTGCAGGCTGCTCGACTTCTCGACGCTCATTGGCGACAACATTCATCGGCACTTTGCTCCCCTCTTCGCCAAGGAGTGTCGACAATGGCACCAATTTCTCAGTGGAAGTAAAGAACGTCGAAGAAGTGGCAGTCGACAGCTGCTCCCCTGTCGAAGAAGAGGCAGAGCGAATGTCCTCAACAGAACGAATCTGCTCCGAAGAAGGAGCATCTGCTGCAGGAGTGTCTTCTGCGGGATAAGTCTCTGGCAACGGCGAAAGTTGCACTTGAGGGTTGGTTGGAGGAAGTTGCGGCGGCGGAATCGACGCGGGCACGGGCAGAGGTGCTGGTGCCTGAACCATGTCGTCATCATCGTCCTCATCATGCGCAGGATCCGTCGGGAACGATGACACATTTTCGAGCGCAGCACGGTCGACGATGGGAGTCTGCGCCGTCACCTTTCACTCTGCAAGAAACATTGTCTCGTAGAAGATGGCTTCGACCGTGGTGATCAAACGGTTGCTCGACAGGTCGAGGACCAACCACCCCTTACTCTGCTGCGAGACACCCAGGTGGAGACCTCAGCGAGCTTTCGGCTCCAACTTCCCCCCACGCTGACTCTCCGGAATGAGGGATTGCACCATACACCCCCACACCCTTGCCATGCCAAGATCAGGCTTTTCGTCGAAGAGCACCTCATAAGGAGTTACCCCTGATGGCAGAGAGGAATGTTCTAGACGATTCCTCACCCAAACAGCTTGCAGAGCTGCAAGGTGCCACCAATGGTGGGGAGCTCCCATGTGCAGAAGCATCGTCCTAACTGCTTCGACGACAGTCCGCATTTCACGCTCCGCCATCCCGTTCTGCTGCGGCGTACAAGGGCAAGTGAGGTCGTGCTCAATCCCTTTCTCCTCGAGGAACTCGGTGAATTTACTTCCCAAAAATTCGCCACCTCGATCGGAGCGGAGAGCCTTCAGCGAAGCCTCACACTGCCTCTCTGCACGCGGAAGCCACTTCTGGAAGACGCGCAGAGCATCGCTTTTCTGCGCAATCGGGTAGATCCAAACGTAGCGAGATTTGCGATCCTTGAGCAGAAGAAAGTAGCGGCTGCCATCTTTCGCAGGAACTCGGAAGGGCCCGCAGAGATCGATGTGCACTACTCCCAGCACCTTCTGCTCTTCACTCCCCTCTTGAGGGAAACTATGCCGAATAAGTTTCCCCCCCACACAAGAGACACACGGTAGATCGGGATTGGCGGACTTGTCAATGTCCAAGCCCGTCGCAGCACCATGCATTGCCGTTTGCTTAATTGTTTCGACGCCCGCATGTGCAAGTCGAGGATGCCACACATCCATCTTCGCCCGTGTATCCGTCGCCAATGTTCGCAGAGCAATCGCCTCCCCTGCCGATTTCTTCAGCGGCCACACCTGGAGATCTGTGCTGAGCACTCGTCCTTGATAACGAGCGCGTCCAAGGACTGTCCCAACGGCAGAGAGAAGGAGGGTCTCTTCACCTTCATCCTTCAGCTTTACCCCACAGTCCTTCAGTTGCCCTGCAGACAACAGATTCGCATGGATTCCAGGTACGTAGAGCACATCCGGGATCAGAATCTGCCTCCCAGCTTCGCCGCGTAGAGCGATTGTTCCGCGACCGCGTACTGGTTGGAATGCCCCGTTGAAGCCACGGACTTGTTTAATGTCGCCACCTTCATGCATTTCGACAAAGGCTGCGTCGTCGCCCATCAGATGATGTGAGCAGCCACTGTCGAGAAGAACAACCGCAGGATCGGCCTCGACGGCTGCGGCAATCGCCTGAAAATCCTCGCCATCTTCTGCGTTCAGCGAAATGAGTAGATCAGTCGTCTGCAGCTGGTCGACAACTGGTCCTACCATTGAGCAAGAAGGGCCCTTCTTGTTGGTCGAATCGGAGTTGGCCTGCGTTCCCGACTTCGACGAACTCTCCTTCTGCGCTTGAGAATTGTCCTTCTTGTCGGCGCGTTGTTCGCACTGAAACGCAAAATGTCCGATTTCTCCGCAGACCCAGCAAGGTTTCTTCGAGCTCCGCTTGTTGTTCGGTTGTCGATCATCTTTCTTCTGCTGCTCTTTGTTCGACGACTTCTGCTCCGTAGACCCGCCAGATGTCGAAGAAGACCACCGCTTCTGCTGTTGCTGCTGCTGCTGCTGCTGCTTCTGCTGCTGTCCCGTCGACGCCCAGTTGACCTGTGGCAGAGGGGATTCCTTCTTCTTCTCAAGCTCGATCGTGCATTCCTCGGCGATAATCCTGCTCGTCAAAGTATTTTCGTCGAGAGTCTTGCAGTTTTCCGGAGCTTGTAGCATTCGGCGAAGGTACTTGTACTCTGCGGGAAGACCTGTAAGGACATGAGTCATATACGAAGCCATCGAATAGTTCACGCCAGCCATTCGCAGATTAGCGAGAATCATCTGCGCACGATTGCAATAGGTCGTCGCCGTCTCATGCTCCCCATTTCTAGCGTCGCCAAGCTCCTCTCCAGCTGTCCGATGTAGAGATAATCCGTCGCTTTGTAGGTTTCCATTATGAAACGCCACGCCTGGTAACCTGCGTCCACTCGTAGACGACACGATTTCAATGCGATCTTCACGGATGGGGAGCAGCAACGCGATATCACCATGAAGGTCAGCAGCTGCGCCGAGCGGAATTGTGTGTATTGCGAAATGTCGCTCAGCCGTGGAATCTTGATGGAACCGTCGATGAACTGCTTCAGCTGCGCAATTTCAAGTTGAGGCTCGATGGACTCCCTCCACACGGATAAGTCATGACGTCCTTCCAGAAGCTTCGGCACCGAGATCTTGTCGGGAGAAAATTTGAAGTAGCCGTAATCAGGAGCAATTCCGCCGTCTTTCGATGCCGACAGATGAGAAACCGCCGAGCTTCCACCAGTCTTCACTTCAGATCCTCGACCGCTTACGTGTCCTTTGCCAGTCGCCTTCTTCGGACTTGCATACGCCTTCTGTTGCGAGCCTTCTCCAGGGCTCATCGGCTCTCCTTGTCCTAGAACACCTCGTGGCTCCTGCATTCCGCCTTCTTCCGGTTCTTCAGCGTTGCCGTCGTCTCCAGAAGTCTGCGATTCGTCGTCTCCCTCTGCACGAGTCGGTGGATGTTCCATCTCCCATTGAGCTCGTACTCCCAACAGCATGAAGTTGAGCTCCTGCTTGGTGAGGTTTCCACCTTCATGAAGAGCAAGCACCGCAGCCTCCCGCTCACTTAGACTGTCGATTCCCTCGAGGATATCCTCAGTATCCTCCATGTCGACGAGCTAAGTTCTATGAGACCTAACGTAGAAGAACGAGCTCTATGCGTGTTCGTTCCACGCTCACCGCACCATGCAGAGATTTCTGCTCCAACGGGGAGCTTCTACGGAATGCTGCTTTGCAGCCACGCAAACTTGTGGTTCACTAAGGAGAACAAATTTGGTGAAGTGTTGGAAGGCACAGAGTTGGCACACAAAAAGAATTCACTAGAATAAAATGAAAGATAGAATACAAGGGGTAAAGAACTACCCAACCACTGAACCTAACAAGAGAACGTTCACACAAGAACGTTTAGATAACTACCACTTAGCTGCGCTTTGCCACGCTTTGCCACGCTTTGCCAAGTCAGCAACGGCAGGTGAAAATTACAGCACATGCTTAGTTGGTAATTTTTACCTGCTTAGAAGTAGTTATTATAACTGTTTCAGGTTGTTTAACCAATTTCTGTAACGCACGTTTTCGTAGTTACGACAAGCTTCGACGTTTACGTCGAAAGGGTTGCGTAGGGTTGTATCCACTGCGTTTACTAAGTTCTTCATGATGATGTATATTAACTTAAAACATGACAAGATCGATAGTCCCTTATTACGGAGAAAATACATTTTCTAGACATTTCTTCCCTCAAAATTGTTTTGAGTGCTAACTAATATGGTTCAAATCTTTTGTGATCATAAAAAAGATGAATTGTTTACACCTAGTGCATATTCTATAGTTCTATCAGCGTACTATAGCGGGTTTTATGTTTGCAATTACTGTACCGTATCTGCTGTGTCAGCTAGTGGGATGGCGTGGCACGCATGTGTTTTCACGTGACACTAGCTTTCAAGTCTAGTGTGAGCGATTTTTTTTTTTAGTATTGCCAAATGCCCAGATTTTGTTTTTTTCTTGCCATTCACCCTTGTCCTCATATTACAATGTATACTGTACATAAAAAGTTTCAGTTCCTCGTTCTGCGCTGGCAAAAAATTTCTCGCCAGCTCCACGACAACCACAACCAAGGGATATCCGTCCCTTTCACAGCTGTCAAACCGAATTTGACGCGCTCTTCATTTCTTGGTTCTTGTTCTTCGTTTCTCTCGAGAAGCACCTGCTTGCTCACTCTCCCCCACACCCCATTTTCTTCTCTAGCTTTTTCTCCTAACACCCCGCCATCGCTAGCACCTCCCACCCAGCCGTCGCTCTCCCTCCCATCCCCCGTATCCTCTTTCGCCCTCCTCGCCGTCGCCTCTCCCCCTTCCCGCCGTCGCCTCTCCTCCTCCCCGCCGTCGCCTCTCCTCCTTCCCGCCGTCGTCGCCTCCCCCTCCTCCCCGCCGTCGCCTCCCCTCCTTCCCGCCGTCGCCTCTCCTCCCCCCGTCGTCGCCTCCCCCTCCTCCCCGCCGTCGCCTCCCCCTCCTCCCCGCCGTCGCCTCACCCTCCTCCCCGCCGTCGCCTCCCCCTCCTCCCCGCCGTCGCCTCACCCTCCTCCCCGCCGTCGCCTCCCCCTCCTCCCCGCCGTCGCCTCCCCCTCCTCCCCGCCGTCGCCTCCCCCTCCTCCCCGCCGTCGCCTCCCCCTCCTCCCCGCCGTCGCCTCCTCCTCCTCCCCGCCGTCGCCTCCCCCTCCTCCCCGCCGTCGCCTCACCCTCCTCCTTGCCGTCGCGTCACCCTCCTCCCCGCCGTCGCGTCACCCTCCTCCCCGCCGTCGCCTCACCCTCCTCCCCACCGTCGCCTCCTCCTCCTCCCCGCCGTCGCCTCCCCTCCTCCTCCCCGCCGTCGCCTCACCCTCCTCCCCGCCGTCGCGTCACCCTCCTCCCCGCCGTCGCCTCCGGCGACAGGTGCACGAGCGCCAGCGCGAGTTGGTGCGCGAGCGCATTGGTGCGCGAGCGCGTTGGTGCGCGAGCGCGGATTGTTTCATGAGTTACCGTGGTTTTCAGGTGCGTTCCCGGTCCTTTCATTCTCCCTTCCCCCTCTGAAATTTCTTCTTTTTTTGCTCTCGTCGTTTTTTTTTTCGTGTGCCGATTGTTCTCCTCTTCCGTAGCTCTCTTCGTGAAGAAAGGGAGAGACGCGGAGCGCGTGGAAGAGCGAGTGCACGGGAGCGCACGCACAGGAGAGTGCGCGTGAGAGTGAGCGTGAGAGAGCGTGTGAGAGCGCGTGAGAGAGTGCGTGAAAGAGCGTGTGAGAGCGCGTGAGAGAGCGCGTGATATGGCGCGTGGGATAGGGTGAGAGAGTGCGCGTGAGAGAGCACATGAGAGTGCGCGTGAGAGAGCGCGTGAGTGTGCGTGAGAGTGCGTGTGGGAGAGCGCGCGAGAGAGCGCGCGCGAGAGTGCGTGCGAGAGTGCGCGCAAGGGAGCGCGCGAGAGAGCGCGTGAGAGCACGCGTGAGGGAGCGCGTGAGAGCGCGCGTGAGAGAGCGCGTGATGGAGCGCCGCCGGAGAGTGCGCGAGAGAGAGCGCGTGAGAGTGCGCTCGAGAGTGCGAGCGAAAGAGTGCGTGAGGGAGCGCGCGGGAGAGTGCGCGAGAGTTCGCGCAAGGGAGCGCGCGAGGGAGCGCGCGAGCGAGCGCGTGAGGGCGCGTGAGTTTGCGCATGAGGGAGCGTGCGAGAGAGGCGTGAGAGCGCGCGCAAGAGGGCGCGCGAGAGTGAGCGCGAGAGTGCTGGTGTGAGTGCGAGGGCGAATGCGAGCGTGAGTGTGGATATGAGAGTGAGGGCGAATGTGAGGGTGAGTGCGAGGGAGAATGCGTGCCTGAGTGCTGCGGGTGTGTGTGTGGGTTTAGAGGTTGAGCGCGATGGTGCGGGTGTGATTGCAATGGTGAATGCGAAGGCGAGTGCAAGTATGATTCCAAGCGTGAGTGTGCGCATGTGTGAGGATGATCGTAAGGGTGAATGTTGAGGTGAATGCAAGGGTGGCCGCAAGGTTTTGCATGCATTCTGACATAATGTTTACTATCAAGTCACATTTGTAAGATGCCAAATGTAAATGTTTCCATCACTCATCTTTCGTTTGTATATTGCATTCTTCAGCTTCAATTTCTGTTCCGCTTACGTTGTTTTTTAGTGTATCGAACCATTTGTTTCTTGTGCGTCATGGAATCTGCATTCTCTGATTTTGTTTCTTTGTGCAACTCATGCAAGTTGTATTCTTTGATTTTGTTTTTGTTTGTGCAGAGAGTGAGTTGCATTCGCTGTTTCTTCTTTCCTGTGCAGGGAGTTCAAGCTCCAGTCTTCTTTTCTTGCGGAGAAAAGGGATGGGGAGAAGGGAGATGAGGGAAATGAGGGAGGGAGGGAGGGAGGGAGGGAGGGAGGGAGGGAGGGAGGGAGGGAGGGAGGGAGGGAGGGAGGGAGGGAGGGAGGGAGGGAGGGAGGGAGGGAGGGAGGGAGGGAGGGAGGGAGGGAGGGAGGGAGGGAGGGAGGGAGGGAGGGAGGGAGGGAGGGAGGGAGGGAGGGAGGGAGGGAGGGAGGGAGGGAGGGGAATGGGGCACAAGCTAGTGATGATTTACACAAGGCTGAACTTCATTCATTTCGCTTGCATGCTTATTACCATAGCTGTATGCTTTTTGCGTTGTGTGTGTGTATGTGTGTGAGTACGTACATGTGCATATGTGTGTGGTGTTTGTTTCGAGGTGTGGTGCTAAGTGCCTCGTGAATGCAACTCGGATTGTGATCGTCGGTGGGGCAGCTTTGCTAGCCTCTTCCGTACCATATCAATCTTAGTTGCAGCATTGATGCATTTAGTATTCGCTTTGAAACATTCTCAATCGTTGTCCTCTGTTTTTGTGACGGTTTGTGTGTTATCGTCTGTGCTTGTTTCGGGGGTGTGGTACTAAGTGCCTCGTGTATGCAACTGGGATTGTGATCGTCGGTGGGGCAGCTTTGCTCGCCTCTTCCGTACCATATCAATCTCAGTTGCTGCATTGATGCATTTTGTACCGTATGGCCCCGGATATAAGCGCCGTCCGATTAAAGGCGCCGGCGCTTCTATCTGGAGCATGGCGCTTATGGCCGATCCTCGATTATAAGCGCCTCCCCTGTGAAACCTTTACTTATTATAAGCGCACATACACTTTTACTATAGAGTCGTGTTCGAAATGGTAACGAATTTCATATTTGCAGCGAGTCTTATCTCATTCTCGCTTAGTTTGACTCTCGAAGACCTGACTGGATGCGAGTCCAGTCACGTTGTGCTGGCATGCGTGCAGATTGACGTGACATTGGCTCTGTGTGCGGGAAGCAGAATCGCTTGCGCGCGATTCTGCTTTGCGACGCTATATTAGTTCGACTCGGTTCAAATGGCAACAATGAAATGTACATTTTGGTACCCTAGAAGTAAAAATCTGTATTTGTCATCATATAAGCGCATGCGCTTATGGCCGTTACTCGATTACAAGCGCCCCCTAAAAAAACGGAGATTTTATTATAAGCGCATATGCGCTACTATCCGGGGCCAGACGGTATTCCCCTCAGAACATGTACGACGGTTCTTGTACACCATCGATTTTGTACTCATTTGTGTATGTGTGTGTCTTTAGGTGGTACCGTTGTACAGATTTTCTGTGTTGTTTTTGTGTTCGTGGGCCATTTGGTATCGTCATTAGTGCTAGAACGATTGTCCAATTGTTCCATTCGCCGTACTTATCGACGATTATGGAATGGTTGGAAACATTTGTTTTCATTTTTTCGGGGAAGTTACCGTGAATAGTGATTTCTTTCATAATTGATGGGAGAAATTCACTGTTCACGTCAGCCAACCGGAAAGTGAAAACGAATGTATAAGGTTGCTACGCAACCCAAAAACGTGCGCCAGGTTCAGTTTGCTCAGGTGGTTCAATTCGCCCGCAGATTGAACACCCAAGTTCCGCGCACTGTTCCGCGGGGTCAATTTCTCAATGTCCCGAAATTCCGAATTTCCTCCCGCAAAAGTTTACGAAACGATCGCACTTTTGCGTCGGAGGGGTTCGCAGGTAGAAGACTCGCCCTCCTTTGCAGATCCGAACTTCTGCAGATACGCCCTCCTTTGCAGCTCCCCGTTCTGCTCTGCAGATTCGCACTCGTCTGCAGCGGAACCTGTTTTCCGCTTCTGCGAGGTGTCTCTGCTTCAGTGCAGAGTTCCGCGCTGTCTGAACTTTCCGCTTCGGCAGAATTCCGTGTCCCTGCAGAACGCGACGATCCTCTGCAGGGTCAGTGCAATCTCAACAATGAGGAAATGACGGAGCGCCGTGTTTTCAAGTTTCCAGTTCCTTTCGGCAGTGGTTTTGACAGCGCATCGCTTCGCGCTCGCGTCGAATACCTTGGGGCATAATAATTCTCCGTTTCTCCTTTTGAGTCTACAAATACTAATCAATTTTATGTTACGGGGTATTCAACGTATATTCGTCGAGCCATGGGAAACGCGCAGCTCGGGACAAAAAAAATAAAACCCTCATGGATGGTATGCCACGTAGAGAGCATCAACCCTAAACTCCTGGAGGCAAGGTGTTTAGGGTTGATGCCTCCCAAATGGCTTGTTGTCCGAGTGGGTTTTAGTTTTTCCACTGGCCTCTATTATTGAACCCGGGTAGACTTAATATGTTTCCTTCTATACGTTTAGTCGCGGAAAACGGGAAACAGCAATCTAAACTGCCCACGGGAATTGGGCGCGAGCGCGGTGGGATCGCTGTCAAAGCCACTGCCGAAAGGAATTGAAAACGCGCAAACACGGCGGCCCGTCATTTCCTCCTCAACAATGCTTCCCCAGAACGATGGTCACAGTTGACGCCTCGCTTGCATCGGGCAATGAGAACGCGTCGCACATTGTCGCATGAATCGCAAAGAGTCGCATGGATGGAGAAGCTGCCCGATGACAAAATCTGATTGGTCTCACAGCTTCAGCCTACTCGGCAATCAGAGTCTCGTTGAACTTCAGACAGGGACCGAGAGAGCGTGTTACCGGCCGCTTCCGTTCCAGTGAAACCGACAGATCTGAATTAAGTTTCTGCTTCAACTGGGAACTAGCAATCCGTCCAGGATGTGTCACGAATGAAATCCCTCCATTTGGTACCAACAGCTTCGGAGTAGATGTCTCTTACTGCTTCTCCAGACAAACTTCTGTTATCGGTTTTCAACCGACTATTGCAGTCCCACCTGCACTACTGCATCAGAAAAATGTGATCCCGCCGGATGCCGCGTGGTGGGGTATCGGCTTAGATTTCTAGGTTGGAGGTCATGTCGTGAACGACAGTTAATCGGCCGGTTGGGGCAGCGTGGTGGCGAATGATGATCGATCATCGGAGTAGTGTGGTTTACGACAGTGATCTGTAGTTGAATGGGCCTTGTTTGACGAAGCCACGTGTTGGGTCTCTCACCACGATCGGTGCTCAACTTCGGAAGTTGAGCACAATTTGCCGACGTGGCAGTAAGTGGGTGGTTCTTGCCATTCACAATCAGAAATCGATCACAAACAGGGTGGGTGTGTTATTCCGAAGCTGTACGTCGCGATAGAGTTGGGAGTTGTCTGACAGTTGTAGAAAAAATAGGGATTGTACTTAACATATGAAATTTCTTCATTGTTATGTTATTGTATCGTGAATTCAAAGTCTTGGTGCTATGTTGTTTTTGTATTCGGTCAATCCAATTGTTTCCTGTGGAATCTTTTTTTCATTTTTCTGTTATATCGTACGCTGTTGGGTAGTATATTGTATTTTGTTTTACTGGTTGGTGTTATTCCCCCTACATGTTCAGTTGGTTATTGCGGCTCTAATATTGGCAGTGTCGATGCTTATAAACTGCCATGCTCGTGCTTTAGGGAGTTCCTCAAATCGAGGCATTCGAGCAAGAGTTGAGGGTGCAGCTGTCAGGATGATCAGATTCGCGCCAATTTTGAAAGCCGTCAGTGTTTTCACACGTGACCATTGGTTGTACTTGTACCCACTGGCAACCGTGCACCCAGAAGTTTCTGATTGGGTGGTGTCAGTTCAGCTCCACTTTCACCCTCAGGGTTGCGA